GTGAGGGGAGAGGGCCCGTGCAAAGAGAGAGAGAGAGAGTTTTCAGCTTGCATTTTTTGCAATGTGTTTCCTAACTGCTTCCTTGGCATGGAAATTATTTTACAAATCAGAAGTGGGCTTGCTTTTACATTGATTGCAAAAGTAATTACAGTGCATTCGACAGGGAGCCCAGTGGAACTGTATTAATACTGCTTTAACCTAATTTCTGTCTTACAGGCAATTCTCCTCAAGATTATTAATTTTCTTAACTTCTTCAGCTTCATTATCCTAAGGATATTGTTGTTTGCCTTTCGATAATAGGAGGAAATCCATTTTTGTGCAGTCAGTACATGAATACTAATAGGCAATCTGAGGCAACAAGTACGACACAGAAATGAATCTCGGGAGGATTTCTCTTCTGTCTCGAACCTCCAGCTCTCGCCATAATTACCACAACGGAGAAGCCACTGAAACTGATGCTGTCACCNAAAAAAAAAATCACAAGCTCAGCCCATACCACCGGGTTCATCTACCCCACAGGGGCCTGCAATTAGTTATTCCTAAAGCATTTCTCCTCTGCTATTGATTTTTTTTCTCTCTCTCCCACTAAATTTAATTGCAAACAAATCACAAGGCCTGATGAATCCACAGACAAAGCCGCCTTTGCGGCATCTCGGAGGAACCCAAGCTGTCAATAAAATAACCACCTCATCTCTAGACCGTTCTCTGGGCCTCCCGCATGCACTGGCAAACCTCATAATGCATTCTGCAGAATACAAGTATGAAATGACACTGTGGTTTCATCAAAGTTCATTTTAAGCGAAGTCAGATGTCTTTTCAGTAGAGTACAGTTACAGAGGTCATGCAGCTTTTAAAGGGGCAGAATCCCTCCCTTTAGTTTGGGTCATATGAACTGAAACCATAACAACAACAACAATAAAATTACATTTATGAGCGCCTTTCATGTGGGAGGATGTCCCAAGGCCCTGAAATCCTAACCCTACATAACTTATTACAGACAGATTCAAATACAGGGCAGTACGAGGTTTGTGTTGCAATGCACTATAATATTGGTCTCTGCTGAGAATGTTGTATCCAAACTGGCAACGCATTGACCATTTCACTCAACACCAGTACAATTAAGCTAATACAGAGAGCCCCTATCTCAACATCAAATTGGTTCTTAACCAGTGAAATCAGTGGCATTCTCAGGGCATGTTCCATGTCAAAGCATGTCATGAAATGCAGCTATTTTCACCTAAAGTGTGAAAACAATGAGAACAACCTGGAGAAAAATGACTGACAGGATAGAGTTTGGCATTTTGTGTTTTGCAATAATGAGCAGTGGGAAGTTAAAATGCTGTAAGCAACACTGAACTAACAGGAGAAGGGTCACAGGGCCTTGTCCAACTAGTGGATAAGCCCAGATCATGTATCTCCATTATTCACAATCTTGCTTTTCCACTTGGATTTCACGCTGCTGATAGTAGACCTGTACGACTGGTGATTGAAACATACAGCATCAGCATTTTATGGAAACTTGTTTTTATCACGCTGTATAAACCATCACCGCACATTTTTGTGCCTAGAATTAAATTTGATTTATTGAACTGAAATGCTGCCAAAAAAAACAAGCTATTGTCCTTATATTCTTGTAAATATTCTGTTGGAGTGCAAAAACTATAACTTTAAGACACTATGGGGAGGGTTTTGCTTGTATTACAAATGTTTTATTGAGTTCAAACCCCAGAAGTTATGTTGAAACTGTACGATAATTACTCTGGTCAGAATGCACCTGGAGTAGTGTGGTTATAGTCGCTGTGACATAAGGGTGTGGTTCAGGCCTGAGAGCCAGCACAGAGGAAAGCAATGATGCTGATCGTTGAGTGTTAAAAAGATGAATTCTGAGGAATGACTGGATATCCCAGGGGTCTCCAGCCTCCAAAACACATCTCAGAGGGGATCTTGTAGAGGCGGCTTATGCTTCTTGGCCTAGAGAATGTATAGCTGGAACATTTTCAGATATGCCAAAACAGGAGGATAAGAGGACAGGAACTCAGGGTTGAGAAGGGTAATTTTAGAACTTGATACTGATGGTAATTAATTGGAAATGAGTTACTTTATGAGGAAGGGTGATTAAAGCCCAGATTTATTTGAGACAGCTTGATGATGTAATGGGAAGGATTCATATACTGCAAATTTAGAACGAGAAGTTCCTCCTCATCAAAACCTCCCTTGTGAGAGAGTTAGAATTGGTTTATCAGGTGTCAAATATGTAAGCAACCCAACAAGTTAAAGAAATAAGATAAAAGCTGCTGTATTCTTTAAGTGTTTCTTATGAATATCACAACCTTTACCTCAATCTTCCTTACTCCGAGACTCAATACCGTAAACACATTTTTATTCAGCTCTCTTGTACTGCATGCTAATGAGTGAATTATCTAATGTGCTGACATTATGTGGATAATTCAACAGTACTCAGTACTGTTCTCACACTCTTGAATTAATTTAAAGGCATGTCAATTGGCACAGCTGCCACAGTGACAAATCCAACCTGCCCACCAACCCTCTACAGGTTCCATAAACTCTGCCTGCATGCACAAATGTGGCTGTACTCACATCAGCTATCCTTGGTCAAAATATGCTGAAGACGTCTTATTTCTATTTCAAATCTGCTACTTTTTTTCATTAAAACCTACATTTCTTTCCTAAATATATGTCAACATATATAAGCCCTATTTCACCAAGTACTGGTCAGTACTTAAATAGTAAAATGATAATGATAATTATATGATAAAATGATGATTCTTGCATTTTATTTAGAGCCTTTCAGCTCGTATTTTTTTAGGCAAATGTGGCAGCAAATTTGCACATAGCAATGTCCCACAAAAAGCCATGAAGTGAATGATCAATTTTATTTGGGGGATTGTTGACCAAAACACTAGAAGCTCCCTTCTTTTTTTGAATTGTACCATGGGATCTTCAACATCTACCTGAACAGGCAGAGACGGGACCTCAGTTTAACATCTCATCCAAAAGATGGCACCTGTGATAATGCCGCACACCCCCAGCACTGCATTGGAGTATCAGCCTAGACTACCTAAGTTCAAAGTCCCAACGTAGGAGTTGAGTCCACAATATTCTGATTCAGAAGTGTGAATGCTACTGACCTAGCCAAGCTGACACACATCTCCCTACGAGGCTACAATACCTCAAAAAACCTCTAACAGGATGTGCTCTTTGGCAGAAGAATAAAACTCGATCACAATTGAGGCTGTGGTCTGAGAGTCTGAGGAATTCACTGATGTGGAGAGTGTACCCTGTACCTGAGAACCAGAGGCCACTACGTGAGCAACAGATTGTTATGACGTTTATTCCACCAAGACAGTTGTACAGATCTGTCTCCCTGTTACCATTAGAAACACTGCTGCATTGGATTACCGCCTGCCTTCTGTACTTTGGGGATAAAGTGAAGTATTAAAAAAGGGCATTTCTTCACAGGATCTATTTTGGATGGTTGGAGAGACTAATAAGGTAACAAGAATTGGTTATATTCTCATTAACTACTATACTGAGTAACAGAGGGCTACTTAAGGGAATGTGAATCATTCTGATAAGGTCATAAAGTAATTTGGGTGCTCTTATGTTTTGAATAACAATCCTTATTGAGAACAGTCCGTTCATCAGCAATGTTTTTGAGGCTATTACTAACAATAACATTTCAGTATCTGACAAAGTTTTTATTTTTAGCTTTATTCAGAGAAGATGGCAAGAAAAGAAGAGTGCAGCACTAACACTCCCCATGAGAATGGGATGATGCTTCATTCCCTAAAACTGCTGCTGTGAAGAATGCACTGAGATTGGAGCTACAAAGAGCTGCCCCAAAACGTGTCACAATATTACAAGGTTGAATGAAGAAGGTTCTTTGGCCCATCTATTCTCATCCCTCCAGAACACCCACCTTCCCATCATAGCATTAAGCTGCTTTTTAAACACATCCAAGGTCCACCCTTCATTGCAACCTGTTCCAGTTGTTAATTACCCTCTGGGTAAAGGAATACTTCCTGATGTCTGTCATGAAATTGTCTCTTTGGAACTAAACCTATGTCCTTTCTGGGTTTACTGTTTCAATCCCATTTAAGATGTTATACATCTCTATTAGATCCCATCTGAGATGTCTTCTCTCAAGACTGAAGAGCCCTAATCCTTCAACATCTTATGTCACCAAATGCAACTACAGTGTTTCCCTCTGTCTAAACCTTTGAAGAGTTAAGAAGAAAGGGAAGTAGGAGCAGATGTGAGAGAAAATTAGAAACAAGATTTTCTTCATGAATAGCAAAATATTTGCTTTCAAAGGGTCTGTCAAACAAAATAATTATTATTAGGAAATGTCACATTATCAAATATGTTAAGAAACATTGAATTTTCCAGTCTATCAGTTAAGACTGGACATGATAGAGGGCCTTTCACCTTTTATATTAGGTGAACATCCCAAAGCTCTTCACAGGATTTACTGTAAAGTTCAGGGACTGAGTGTTTTGTGGGTGACAAAACATCGCTGAACCACAAGATTTTGGTGCCACTTCACAGCCTTAACTCAAGCTGGTTTCTTGCAGTGTAACAGTGAAACTCGGCAATAACAACAGCAGAGCTGAAAGCTGCAGCCTTCACTGCAGCTTGGCCTGAAGACCAACCTCCTCCTGCTTGCTTGGCTTGGGGGAAAGGGAGGCAGGAATACATTGGAGGAAAAGAGTGGTTCACATCTGAAGCCAGTCTTTAGTAAATTGGAAATTGCAAAGTTTCCAGACAGATTTGATATGAGTTAATGGATGGAATGAAAAGTAAAAGTAATAAACATAGATCTGCACTAGACTGGGGCCCAACAAAATAGCTCTACATATACTCCCAATGTAAACCTCCATCTGCCCTCAACCTTCTGCATTGACTCTTCTCCTTTAATATCTTACAGCTCTAGCATAGTACAATACACACAGATAAGAAACAAACACAGGATAACTTACCTTGGTGATTTTCTTTGATTCCCTGAATTTCCTGAAGAGTATAAAATTTAGTCACTTTCAACTGGAATAGCCCAGATCAGGAATAGAGCGAAACACAAGACCGGGTAAGATATGACTCCAAGTACAGGGCCACCTAGAGCTCTGACTAAGCATTTGCACCAGCCACAGGATGAACCCCAGGAGCAGTGAAGAGAATTTGTTCATTTTTATGAAAGAAGATAAAGTGGTAAAACCCATCTAGGACATTTCTGGGGTTACCGCTATCAGGAATGAAAACAAAATCACAATGACTTCTGTAATAAAGTTGAATGCAAAATATTGTAAACACAGCCTTGCCAAACTTCATTATGATAAATTCAAACCATCTTTTCCTCTCGACACACCTGAAGCTTTCAACAAGAATCACTTTGCTATTTGCTGTGTTATTACACTGTTGCCTGCAGTTTGGAAGAGAAGAGTTAGAATGCTCAAATAATAATAATCCTTGCATTTGATATAGTACTGTATCATGTCTTCTAAACATCTCAAAGCACTTCACTGAATATACTGTAAAGTGAATTGACTATATATTTTGTGAGCGAAACACAACAGCCAATTGTGCATGGATAGTTAATATGTACACTAGGGCACAGAAAGTGACAGAGAGGCAGAATGAGAGATGGAGAGTGAGAGACGTAAAGGCAGAGATATAGAGAGGTGGACAACAGTGACTAGCACTGTGTGTGTGGTAGAGGATGGTGGGAGCCACACATTGTTAGCACATTGAATGTTACATTTTTCATCCCACTATTTTGTTCCCCAGATCACAATCAGACTTTTCTTGTAGACCATCCATTTTATTTATACATTCATCATACAGTACTATTCATGAATTTCTCCCACTCTTATTTTCCCCCTAGATCACCAGCTTTCCTTATTGTTCTTCCTTTATCTACATATAGGTCATTTGTCTGTAAAATGGAAGAATCCCTGTCGAAATGTGAGGACCGAATGTCTTGAGACAGATAACATCCTTCCAGTTATCTCCCCATAAACAGAACAATCCATATCCTGCAAATGAAATCCATCAATAATCCGAGTTTGTATCTGGTTTCAATTTGACATTGTGTTGCCGCCTTATTATCAATCTTTTTAAATTACTCAATAAACTGTTAACAAAACAAAATTGTCAGTCGTTTGACCACAAAAATATACAAAACACAATTATAGTTAGCCCTCACCACCTAGGCTCACTAACCACATTTTTAAGGAACCTTAGCTTTTGAATGTTCTTCCGACCCTGTTTATCTCTGTTATTCCCACAGAGTAAAATATGCTATTTCTCAGTCATGAAGAAACATGCTTCCTATAACAAATTCCTCCTATGGAGGCTTTAATTGGGAGAAATATAGCTATTTATGGACGTGCTAACAATGGGGTGGTCAAGCAAATGTCTCACAGACTCTTCGCTGCAGGATAATTTGTGCCCACGTGCTGAATAACTTAAATTGATTCATAAAACAAAAATGCTCTCAAGCAATATGTAATATGGATGAAAAAATGTGTCATGTAAGAAAGAAAACTTCCTGAATAGAAAATAAATACAACACTTGAACAAGGTTCATTTCAATCCAAACCCAATCCAAACATGATGCCTACCAGTATTAATGGAGTTGAGTTACACAGAATATTCTCTGTGGAATCATACAAAATTACAATACAAAATTACATTTTACATTACAAACTTACGTGGAGTCCTGCAGCTCAGTGGTCAGAGCACTTGCCTTGCAAGCAAGACACCTGGATTCAATTCCAGGCAGGGCGAAACCTTGGGCAAGTTACCTTACTCCACACGCCATTTTCAATCCATGACTGTTTGTGGGACACTGCTGTGCGCAATTGGCTGCCACATTTCGCCCACAAAATATACAGTCAATTCACTTTACAGCATATTCTGTGAAGTGATTTGAGACATTTAGAAAATGTGAAAAGCGCTATATCAAATGCAAGGATTATTATTATTATTATTATTTGTATAGAGCCTTTCACATCAGGAGGACGTCCCAAGTCGCTGGTGTTCTGACCTTGCTGAATAAAAAATATTTGGTAAAATACTTCTCTACTCCTGTTTCTTGCAGAACTTTAAAATTAGCCTTATTTGCACTGAGGTGGAACAAATTATGATGGAGTCTAAAATGCAATCACAACTGGTTTATGAACTGTTTTAGTTCTTTGATGTTTACATCACTCATTTTTGAGTTAGTTGCAAAATATAGTCAACATAAGAATTAGCCATAAAATTGAATTCATTTCTGTCTGCATATGAGAGGTTATCATGGAAACACAAATATATCATTGAATAATTGTAATTTGGTGTCATTTTGGACTTCATAGAATGCACGATTGCTACAGCAATTGCCTGTTAGAACATTCCCCAGTTGAACACATCTTGCTTACAGTCTTCTTTGGAGCTGTGCTATATTGACGACCTGGTTTCCTACGCTGGAAAATGGATGACATCCAGGTCGTCAGGTTGCTGCTGACATCACTTTCTGCATTTTGCATGGTGCAGCTTTGTACAAAGTACAGCTGAGGTCACTTCTGCATGCATGTTATGCGCAGGAAGCACTACTCTTGTCACATCCTGCCGCTACTCTGTGTACTGCGTCAGGTAGCACTGCTAACATCACTTCCCCACAAAATATCACAAAGTTCACCCACAAAATAAACTCTTACTTATCATCCACAACGTAAACTGCATTTTACAGTGTATCCTGTAGAGAGCTTTGAGACGTCCTCCTGATGTGAAAGATGTTACCCCAATTCTAAGGGTTATTATTAAAATCACTTCTTTGGAGGAAGTGACAGCAGCAGTGCTTCTTGTGCATAGTGTGAATTCACTTCATGTAGGAAGTGGCATCAGTGACAACCTGACCCTCAGGACATTGGCCATTTTTCACACTTTGCTATAATGCGACATCTGAAATATTAGTCCCAGATGATCATGTCATAATAGTGTTGACCTGTAATCCTGTGCTTCACAGGCATAACAGAGGTTCAACGTTTCACACCCTCACAGTCTTAAGACCATTGTCTTAAAATTTTGTCTTAATTTTGAAGCCAGTTTACCGCAATTCTTAAAAAGAACCGCGGAAACGAACACATTTTGGTCCTGATTTTGTGTTTTAATAAATTCAAACACGTTTCTCAGATACTTCACAGAAGGCTTGCTGCTCTCCGCATGCAAGTACTATTTCAATGCAGTACAATGAAAACAATGCCAGAGTGCAATAGTGCACCAATGGGCTTTGCTGGCTCCGGCCTGCTCCATGTCTCCCGCTCGACCCTCCCTACCATCGGTGGCTGAGCTTTCAGACTCTCTGCCTCCACACTCTGAAACTCCATCCCAGTCCCTTCGCCTCGCTTCCTCCCTTGCCTCCCTGCAAGGCCGGTCTCAAGACCCTTCGATCACGCCTTCGGTCACCCTCCCACCTCTCTGCCCTCCCTCACCCCTACGCCACCCCTCCCCAATGTTCGGGTCCTGACCCCTGACCGTCCAACACCTTGGGACATCCTCCCGACATGAAAGGCGCTCTATAAATGTAATTTTGTTGTTGTTGTTGTGCTGTGGACTGGAGGGAGCGAGATCTCTCCCTTGGTTCCCCCACTGTTGAATTTTGCTTCTTAGCATCTCCCAAAACACAAAGAATATTGAGGAGAGGATATCAGTAATTGAGTCAAATTCACAGGACTCTTGTGCACCTCCTCGTGAGTGTTTACAGAATGGCATAGGCATGTCCAAAGACCGAGTTCTCTTCCTGGCTTGATCTTTCATTAGGAGATTGGGGACTTAAAACAGGAAGAGAAATCACTTACAAAATCTGGGAAACAAGTGTAAGCAATTTGTGCCCCAGACTTTCATCTGGTTATCTAAGATTTTGTTGTCGTGGATCAAAATTTAATTAAAAAAACACTCTTAGAACATTAGAGAGTAAAGGGAAACTCCTGCTTTCCTGACCCAAGCAGTTCTGTATGGTTTTAGCTTGCACACAATGAAGCTGGAAATACTGTTAACGTTACAATAATAAAGTTCTCAAAGACTGGGAATAGCTTAGTTATTGTAATATTAACCCTACAGTCCTAAAACAAAGATTAAAAATACCAAAACTTTAAATATTTAATAGGAATGATAATTCTTGCATTGGTAATAATGTTAATACCTTCCACATCACAAATGTGTCAGAATGTTTCACAAGATATACTGTAAAGTGTAGTGACTGTGCATTTTGCAGGCACTTTACCAGTTTTCGCCCTTGCTTTTCTTTCCCACTCTTTCTTCTTCCTCACTCTCTTCCTGGTCTACTCTTTCTTATTATTGTATAATAGTTCTGGTTTTATACTTTCTGCATCTATGGAGAAAGGAAAGTGAGTCAACGTTTTGGGTCCACGACCCTTCATCAGACCTGGCGCAGTTGGGAGGGCGAGGCTTTTAAGGGCTAACAGAGAGGGGGGAGGCAGGGCAAGGAAGACAACAACAACAAGATTGCATTTATAGAGCACCTTTCACGTCGGGAGAACGTCCTAAGGCGCTGGACAGTTGGGTCGGGAACTGAGCAGGGGGGAAATGGTCAGAGTGAGGGGAGGGAAGGGAGGGAGCGAGGGGGGGGGGTAGAGAGTCAAGAGGGGAGCTGAAGGCACGGTTGAAGAGAAAGGTCTTAAGATCGGCACTGGGGGATGGAGTTCCAGAGCCTATGGGTGAGAGGCTGAAGGCCCGGCCACCGATGGTAGGGCGGTTGGGGCGGGGGATGTCGAGCAGACCGGAGCCAGAGGAACGGAGGGTATGGGCAGGTACGTGGAACGATAGTAGGCCAGAGAGGTAGGAGAGTGCAAGGCCGTGAATGGCCTTGTAGGTGAGGATGAGGATCTTGAATTCGATCCTCTGGGGGATGGGGAGCCAGTGGAGGCGAGCGAGGGTGGGAGTGATGTGGTCCTGGTGCGGGACAGTACACGAGCTGCAGAGTTCTGAATGACCTGCAGCTTGTGGAGGGAGGTGGCGGGAAGGCCGGCAAGGAGAGAGTTCCCATAGTCCAGCCTTGAAAAGGAGAAAATGGGGTAGAGAACA